AAGAGAGAGTGGTGACAGAGGTTGGGTCATGGAGGATGGGTACCGCAGACACTGATACTAAAACACCCTTGTTGGGTGTTTTGTGAGCCACTGTGGATTTGGCTCCATGTGGGAATATCTGGTTAGTGATTGCCAAATAGTGCTGATTCTATTCTGCCCGACAGTTATGGGTGCAGATTAAGGTACAAGAATTGAAGGTGGCAATAGAAGTGGAGAGAGGAGTGAATGGATTATTGGGAAAGAAAGTTGAGCAAATCAATCAATTTAGTAATGGACAAGGAGAGTGAATTGGGTACAGTGAGGAACAATCATGTAAATTTAAAAGTATCTTTTCTAGCAAGGATTGGGAAGATGAGAAGATTGGTACTTTCGTTCAAGATCTGCAATTTATTTGGAATTGGAAATAGAAATTTCCAGGAACTTACATGATAAGCAGTCACAAAGTGATTGTTTACCTCAAGAATTTATAATGAATTTGGCTCTGCTAGGCGAAGAAGTTGTAGGGAATGTTTCATAATTTAATAAAATGGGGAAATCTTTGAACCCTTTGCAGTTTTGTGATCTTTTAAGTCGCAAACTAAAGTCCCGGACGTTGGAGGAGATTCTTCTCCCTTCAAATCTCAGATTCTGAGAGGAGAAACACAAGATTGTGTTTGAGCTTGGTGGTACTTGGCACTAGGGGATTGATGTGAAAGAGGAGACACCTATTATGATTTGTGAATATATTTGGAAATGGGGCGGTGAAAACTACTTACAGAGACTGCCGGAGAAGTTGATATGAGATTTGATTTGATTGTATTATATATGGTATTGTCTCAATTGGTGTGTAAGGACAAAATCTTATTTCCTGAATTTAATATTTTGAATGAAATAGCATATTATAGACTTGAATATACTCTGTTTTTTACTCTGTATAAAAACATTTCTGTCTTCTGCAATATTTTTCCTTACATTGTCCAAGATTATTTCATTGTATTTAAAATAATTATGACAGATTATCAACAGAATCAGTAAGATTTGTATCCAATGAAGTATAGGAAGAACAATATGCTCTGCAGACCCTCGTTCTATAATCTCAGCTCTCCCCGAGAGATTGAATGTGTCAGCCGCAAACCCCTGAGGCCTCTTCAGTGACTTCTGGTTCACAAGAGCTTTGTTAGAAATCACTTTCAGTAGAAAAGTATCCACACATGTCATGTATGATTTATTTGGTGGTGCAGAAGAATCGTCAGGGAATTCGGTTATATATTTTTGTCTTTGTCAACCATGACTGTCTGTACTGTGATTACCGTGTCTATAAAGACTTCGTGAAACCATGAGTTTTTGTTCTTTGCAATAACTTGTATGGGCATGATTCTTCGATGAAGAAACTCAGGAAAGCTCATATCAAAGGGATTTTAATTTCATTTGAATTCCCACCAAGCTGTACACAAAACCGTGGTCAGAATTGATAATGATGGTGTAAACTATTTACTTACTTGACATGGAATAATAATTCAAAATTGAACGAGTAGTTTAATTTGACGTAGTATTCCCCGGATCATGAAATGCAAGTCTCTGGAGACAAATAGCAGAAAAATGGCGAGCTCAAAATTTCATATAGAATGTCTCCACCTCTCAAACAAGCTTGGGAGAGGTCACAGGGTTTCCTTCTTTTGCCAGAGGAGCTCTCCCAAAGCTAACAACTCAACCACCACCCACAACTTATACACTTCTTTCCTCTTGTGATTCCCCATGTTGATGGTTTCCCTCCGGTGCTGGAATTGATTAGATCGCATTAATTCTCTGAAATAAAGCTTTGACCATGCTTCAGCAGTTAATGAACTCACTGACTTGAGTATGCAAGTACGTCACATGGTGCCAAATTCTGAAATTATTGAACTTGCGTAAGTCCTGCAACCATCTGGAAAGTGGGGAAAAAGTGAGCAAATGTCTATTGAATGGAAATTTTTCATAAATAATTTTCAGAAAACTTTTATTCTTCTGAAATATACTTTCTTGTAATTAAATTATTGATTTTCTTTGAAGTTTTTCAGAAAAATGTCTTATAAAATTTTGAGTTTCCGTCACTTCTTGTTAAACTCTCAAAACCATCCCAACTTCGTAAGATTTTCCCCTCAATCCACCAGGTCTCATGTAAGAAAAAGCACATGCGGGCACTGATAATGTTTTTTAAATAAAACATTCCAGAACCAACTAATCATTCATTTAAATACTTCAAAGACAGAAATCATTCAATTCAAATTCAACAAGCCAAAACGTCACCCAGCAAAACAACATGCAATGCAAGTTTACTCAATACTTAATAAATTATTTGTTTTCTATTATAATGTTATGTCTTGTGGTAGTCCTTCTTCTTCTTCTTCTTTTTTTTTTTTTTTTTTGGATGACCAAGGTGTTGGTATTAACTACGCACACCTCGATTAATCTTCGAATTCCATTGAATACTCTATAAATCTAATGTTCTAAGCAGGACCGTCTTAAGAACATCTGTGACCCTAGACAAAAGCTACTTTAGGAGCCTTCTAATAATATAAGCATTTATCAAAAAAATTATTTCAAATTTATTTTTCTTGCCTTTTGAGATGCAAAATCACAAGGAGAGGTGGACGACGACCAACGGGCTAACGGGGTCAGGTTGGTGGGGGGTTTTGGAGAGCAGATGTTGGAGAAGCGATGGGTGGTGAAATGAGTGATTTCCAATGCCAGGATTGACCGGAAAAGACTTGAAAAGTCACGGCCCAAAAAGTATCGGTGGCCGGTGATTGACAGAGTAAACAGATAGGTATGATAGGGGTTTTGGTGAGGAGTAGAGGGGAGGAAGATGGTGGTGTTGGGGAAGGCCAACGATGCCAAGTGCATGCTAAAAAGGCTGGAAATGGCTGTCGAACGCGGTGGAGCTAGGTTGCGAGATTCGTAAAAAATGGCCAAATCGAAGGCTATCAAGGTTGGAAAAACACTTGGAAAATGATAAAGTGATGGTTTCGATTGATCTTGGTGAAAAAATTTGACCGAAATCAGCTCCAAACGGCCGACGCGGAAGAGGGGTGGAGATGATTTATGTGAATGTTGAATTTTGAGATTGAATTGGGGGTGAGTAATTTGAGACATGTAAATGACCATTTTAGCTTTTCATTGTTAAAAGAAATTTAATATGTTAATTTACGAGTGTAAATTAAAATATATGAAACTAGAGGTACAAACTTGTCATTTCGTCAAACTTTAGGTGGGAATATATGTAAAAAGTTAATAATAAATTTAGGCCTTTTCGGTTTTTTTTTTTAGGCCCCTTGAAATGGCCTAGATAAAAAATTATATATATATATATATTTTTTTTTTCTTTTTTTTTTTTGTAATATATTAAAAAAATTTATAAAAAGTTTGGCCCTTTTTGGCGCTATTTTTTGGGGGTCTTAAGCAGGTGCCTCACCTGCCTACCCCTTGAGCCCGCCCTAGTTCTAAGATAAGTCATAAATATAATAAATAGATACAAAGTTTGAACTCAAAAAATTAATGAAAAAAATAAACATTCTTGACCGCTTGTTCAATACCTTGCGATTTGTGATAGTTCTTTTCTATGTGCACAAGATCGAAACATCTTAAGGGCCTAAGTGAAAACCATACTAAAATATTTTCTTTCCATTTCTATGCATATAGATTTTCATAATTTGTAGAAATTCCACTGGATGTTCACTAACTCCCATGTTCAGATCACTCAACATCACCCAATATTTAAGTATTCTAATTTCTTCTCGGATCAATAATTTGCATTGAATAAGAAAAAGAAAAATGATAGAGTTACCAAAAGTTACACATCAAATTTGTACACCAAATGATGTAGCCGTTGATTAATATTAACTTATAATGAATCAATAGTTATGATTTTGTCACGTCATTCGATGCACATCCTTTGATAACGGTAGCATTGCTCTAAGAAAAATACTCAAATAATTTAAAGCAAGCATGCATTGTATACCATTTAAAATTTACCCATCAATATAAACTAATTAAACCTGATTAATGAAAAAAAAATGTTTATCATATGTATTAAAATAATTTCAACTCACCTCTTTCCTTCTTCATTTTCTCTCAAACTCCTTTCTTTCTTTTCTTTTCATTTTTTTCAGATTTCCCTTTCTCCCTTTTATCTCTTCTTTTGAATCTTTTCTTCTTTTTCTCTCTCTTCATTCCCGATTCTTTTCATCTCTTCTCTCCCTTTCTATACTCTCCTCTTTCTTCCTTTATAAATATTGTATTTAATTCAATAAAAGATCTCTCCCTTCTCCTTTTTCGTCTCTCCACCGAAAGGTGTTTTGTTTTTGTGCATAAAATTTCAATTAACCCCCAATATAGTTATTATATCCCACTCATTCAAGGATTTATTTCATTCTATTCCTCTACCTTATCTTTCTTTATTCTCTTACTTCCAAACAACCTATTAAGTTTCAAACATTACAATTAAACCCTGATCCCATGCATGACATGACACATGTTGGCAAAATTACAAAGAAACTTCACTGCTTTTACTTTCTAAACGACCCCTTTGACTTGAATTTATATCATTCCAACTCTATTCTTTTGATTTTTCTTTTTTTTTAAATAAACCCTTTACTTATTACAAACACAACCTTAATAGTTTTAAATCATTTCATAAGCAGCCTTCCTTTTCTCTTATAAAAGGAAAGCAAAAATAAGGGCGTTACTAACCCATTAAATATTATTCTTTATCATTGCTTGATCTGAGTCGATCTAGAATAAAATTTAAATATCACATGATCATGTGAAATAGTGGTACAGCAAATTAATATATTTGTATGAATGATTTTTATTTATTTTAATCATTCCTATGATTAATGATCTTTAAACTCAATTTTACGTTATACACGTAATACTGCAACCAAAATATTATCTGACTCTTGAAGAAATATAAAGCCAAAAATTACTCCAGAGTCCAGACGTTTTCCATTGTAAACTTGAAATTACTTAGTTGAAGCAGAAAAATGGCCACCTCAGAACTTCATTTAGCGATGTTCCCCCGGCTTGCCTTCGGTCATTTCATTCCTTTCCTTCACCTCTTAAACAATCTTGCGGAGAGAGGTTACAAAGTCTCCTACTTATTGCCCAAAGGAGCTCTCCCAAAGTTACAACAGCTCAACCACCGCCCAGAATTTATACACTTCTTTCCTCTTGTGATTCTCCATGTTGGTCGTCTCCCTCCCGGTGCTGAAACTGCTTCCGATGTACCATTCCCTCTTCATGAACTACTTGCTTCTGCCATATATGGACAAACCTCGAGATCAAGTTGCGACCATTCTGATCAAGAAGTCTGAGGCCAGACATTGTCTTCTTCGATTTTGGACGATGGATTCCCTCAATAAGCCGTCAATTAGGCACCAAGTCAATGTACTATTCCGCGGTTAATGCATGCTCATTTGCGTTCTTAACATCTCCAGGTCTGATCACTCGGGAGACGACCTTGGAAGAGTGAATCCGACTACCGCCTGGCTACCCTTCCACTACTGTGAAGATAAAATTCAATGAGGCCCCTCATATTGCCAGGCTAAACAATCCCCGTGTAGGGGCTTTCTTTTACGTGCGGTTAACTACCGGCTTGAAATGGTGTGATGCAATTGCTTTGAGATCATGTCAAGAAATTGAGGGAGCTTATTCTGACTATCTTGCACAACAGTATTCAAAGCCTGCGTTGTTAACAGGGCATGTATAGCCTGAAACACCACCTACACAGCTTGAAGAGAAATGGGATAAGTGGCTAAACAAGTTTCAGCCAGATTCAGGGGTGTATTATGTATTTGGTAGCCAAATTACTCAACAAAATGAACAATTCCAAGAGATGGTGTTGGGGTTTGAGTTAAGTGGGTTTCCGTTCTTGGTTGCTTTAACGCCACCTGAAGGATGATAACCATCGAACAAGCATTGTTTTTAAGAGAGAGTTGGGGAGAGAGGTTGGATCCATGGAGGATGGGTGCCGCAGACACTGATACTAAAACACGGTGTTTTCTGAGTCACTGTGGATTTTACTATGGATTTGGCTGTATGCAGGAATCTTTGGTTAGTGATTGCAAAAATGGTGTTGACTCGATTAATTTTTTTATGAAAAAGAGAACTTATCTCTGAAATAGCTAGCATACATATATATTATTCATTATTCAATAGAAACGATTATCCTACTAACTTGGTGTTGTGAGGTATAAAAAATAAAACTTAGATTATACCGTAAATATAGTGGCTTAAGCCTAAAAGGAATCTGTTAAATGTATTATTATATTTAGGCTTAAGCCATGTTAATTTTATTATTATATTTGGGCTTAAGCCATGTTAATGTACCATACTATTATATTTGGTCTTAAGTCACTACATAGTTTAAGGTTTTCTAATCGTTTTTTAGTCTCACATCATCATGTTAGTAGGATCATAATTCTTTTTGAAAGATATGTGTATTATTTATTCAGAGATAATAAAGTAGACATTTTTCACAAAATAAAAATATTTGTTCCATATCTATAATTTGGTGTGTATATATATTTTTTACACCATAAATAAACTTGATATCAAAGCCTCCTCTTGCTCATTACTGATCACCTTAGATTTGTTGTTGACCTACAAAGAAATCTTATAAAAATTTTCATATAAAATGGGATGATAAAAAAAAATAAATAAAATAAAAAGTCAAACTTATTATATTCATTTTACTATTTATTTTTTACCACATCACTTTCTATGAAGATTTTTGTAAAATATTGTTTTGACACAAAAACAATTAGAAACTCTAGCTTATACGGTGGGTTAAGCCCAAATATAATAATACCCTAGATTAATTGTTTTTAAAATTATAATAAATCTCGGACGCAATTTAAAAAAAGACACAAATTGTCGAGTAAAACTTCTTTTCACCTCAAAACTTACTAGCCGCTGAATAAATAAATATAATAGCCCAAACGCTTTCCATTGAAGGTTGAAGCAGAACAATGGCCACCTCAAAACTTCATGTAGCAATGTATCCTTGGTTTGCGTTTGGCCATTTCATTCCTTTCCTTCACCTCTCAAACAAGCTTGCCGAGAGGGGTCTCAAGGTCTCCTACTTATTGCCCAAAGGAGCTCTCCCAAAGCTACAACAACTCAACCACCATCCACACCTTATACAATTCTTTCCTCTTGTGATTCCCCATGTTGATGGTCTCCCTCCTGGTGCTGAAACTGCTTCCGATGTACCGTTCCCTCTTCATGACCTACTTATTTCTGCCATGGACAAAACTAAAGATCAAGTTGAGACCATACTCGGCAATCTCAAGCCAGACATTGTCTTCTTCGATTTTGGGCGATGGATTCCATCATTAGCCCGTCGATTAGGCTCCATGTCAATCTACTATTCCGTGGTTAACGCATGCTCGATGGCGTTCTCCATGGTTCCAGCTAAAGGACTTACTCTGGAAACTACCTTGGATGAGCAAATCCAACCGCCGCCTGGCTACCCTTCTACTACTGTGATAATAAAACGCGATGAGGCCCCTCATATAGTTCTGGTAAACGATCCCCCCCGTGCCGCTTCCTTTTGCTTGCGGCTAACTGAAATTTTGAAAGAGAGCGATGTGATTGCATTGAGAACTTGCAATGAAATCGAGGGACCTTTCTGTGACTATATTGCACAACAGTATTCAAAGCCTGTGCTGTTAACCGGGCCTGTTTTGCCGGAAACTCCAGCTACACAGCTTGAAGAGAAATGGGATAAGTGGCTAAACAAGTTTGAGGCAGGTTCAGTGGCGTATTGTGCATTCGGTAGCCAAATTACACTACAAAAAGAGCAATTTCAAGAGATAATGTTGGGATTCGAGTTAAGTGGGTCTCCATTCTTGGTAGCCCTGACGCCGCCTCACGGATATTCAACCATCGAAGAAGCATTACCTGAGGGGTTTAAAGAGAGAGTTGGTGACAGAGGTTGGGCTCATGGAGGATGGGTACCGCAGACACTGATACTAAAACACCCTTCTGTTGGGTGTTTTGTGAGCCACTGTGGATTTGGCTCCATGTGGGAATTTCTGGTTAGTGATTGCCAAATAGTGCTGATTCCATTTCTGCCCGACCAAGTTATGGGTGCAAGATTAATGGTACAAGAATTGAAGGTGGCAATAGAAGTGGAGAGAGGAGTTGACTGGATTATTGGGAAAGAAAGTTTGAGCAAATCAATCAATTTAGTAATGGACAAGGAGAGTGAATTGGGTAATTCAGTGAGGAACAATCATGTTAAATTTAAAAGTATCTTTTCTAGCAAGCATTGGCAAGATGAGAAGATTGGTACTTTCGTTCAAGATCTGCAATTTATATTGGAATCTGGGAAATAGAAATTTCCAGGAACTTACATGCATAAGCAAGTTCACAAATGTATGTTGTTTACCTCAAGAATTTATAATGAATTTGGCTCTGCTAGGCGAAGAAGTTGTAGTGAATTGTTTCATAATTTAATAAAATGGGGAAATTCTTTGAACCCTTTGCAGTTTTTGTGATCTTTTAAGTGCGCAAACTAAAGTCCCGGACGTTGGAGGAGATTCTTCTCCCTTCAAATCTCAGATTCTGAGAGGAGAAACACAAGATTGTGTTTGAGCTTGGTGGTACTTGGCCACTAGGGGATTGATGTGAAAGAAGGAGACACAATATTATGATTTGTGAATATATTTGGAAAATGGGGCGGTGAAAACTACTTACAAAGACTGCCGGAGAAGTTGATATGAGATTTGATTTGATTGTATTATATATGGTATTGTCTCAATTGGTGTGTAAGGACAAAATCTTATTTCCTGGAATTTATATATTTTGAATGAAATAGCATATTATAGACTTGAAATAATACTCTGTTTTTTTGCTCTGTATAAATCATTTTTCTGTCTTCTGCAATATTTTTTCCTTACATTGTCCAAGATTATTTCTATTCTGTTCATTTAAAATAATTATGACAGATTATCAACAGAATCATGAAGATTTGTATCCAATGAAGTATCAGGAAGAACAATATGCTCTGCAGACCCTCGTTCTATAATCTCAGCTCTCCCCGAGAGATTGAATGTGTTCAGCCGCAAACCCCTGAAGCCTCCCTTCAGTGACTTCTGGTTCACAAGAGCTTTTGTTAGAAATCACTTTCAGTAGAATAAAGTTATCCACACATGTCATGTATGATTTATTGGTGCTTAGGTGGGAATATATGTAAAAAGTTAATAATAAATTTAGGCCTTTTCGGTTTTTTTTAGGCCCCTTGAAATGGCCTAGATAAAAAATTTATATATATATATATTTTTTTTTTTCTTTTTTTTTTTTGTAATATATTAAAAAAATTTATAAAAGTTTGGCCCTTTTTGGCGCTATTTTTTGGGGTCTTAGCAGGTGCCTCACCTGCCCCCCTTGAGCCCGCCCTAGTTCAAGATAGTCATAAATATATAAATAGATACAAAGTTTGAACTCAAAAAATTAATGAAAAAAATAACATTCTTGACCGCTTGTTCAATACCTTGCGATTTGTGATAGTTCTTTTCTATGTGCACAAGATCGAAACATCTTAAGGGCCTAAGTGAAAACCATACTAAAATATTTCTTTCCATTTCTATGCAATATATTTTCATAATTTGTAGAAATTCCACGGATGTTCACTAACTCCCATGTTCAATCACTCAACCTCACCCAATATTTAAGTATTCTAATTTCTTCTCGTCATAATTGCATTGAATAAGAAAAAGAAAAATGATAGAGTTCAAAAGTTACACATCAAATTTGTACACCAAATGATGTAGCCTTGATTAATATTACTTATAATGAATCATAGTTATGATTTGTCACGTCATTCGATGCACTCCTTGATAACGTAGCATTGCTCTAAGAAATACTCAAATATTAAAGCAAGCATGCATTGTATACCATTAAAATACCCATCAATATAAACTAATTAAACCTGATTAATGAAAAAAAATGTTTATCATATGTATTAAAATAATTCACTCACTCTTTCCTTCTTCATTTTCTCTCAAACTCCTTTCTTTCTTTTCTTTTCATTTTTTTCAGATTTCCTTCTCCCTTTTATCTCTTCTTTTGAATCTTTTCTTCTTTTCCTCTCTCATTCCCGATTCTTTTCATCTCTTCTCTCCCTTTCTATACTCTCCTCTTTCTTCCTTTATAAATATTGTATTTAATCAATACAAAATCTCTCCCTTCTCCTCTTTCGTCTCTCCACCGAAAGGTGTTTTGTTTTTGTGCATAAAATTTCAATTAACCCCCAATATAGTTATTATATCCCCTCATTCAGAGATTTATTCATTCTATTCCTCTACCTTATCTTTCTTTATTCTCTTACTTCCAAACAACCTATTAAGTTTCAAACATTACTAAACCCTGACCCATGCATGACATGACACATGTTGGCAAAATTACAAAGAAACTTCACTGCTTTTACTTTCTAAACACCCCTTTGACTTGAATTTATATCATTCCACTCTATCTTTTGATTTTTTTTTTTTTAAATAAACCCTTTACTATTACAAACAACCTTAATAGTTTTAAATCATTTCATAGCAGCCTTCCTTTTCTCTTATAAAAGGAAAGCAAAAATAAGGGCGTTACTAACCCTAAATATTTTCTTTATCATTGCTTTGAGTCGATCTAGAATAAAATTTAAATATCACATGATCATGTGAAATAGTGGTACAGCAAATTAAATATTTGTATGAATGATTTTTTTATTTTAATCATTCCTATGATTAAGATCTTAAACTCAATTTTACGTTATACACGTAATACTGCACCAAAATATTATCTGACTCTTGAGAAATATAAAGCCAAATTACTCCAGAGTCCAACGTTTTCCATGTAAACTTGAAATTACTTAGTTGAAGCAGAAAAATGGCCACCTCAGAACTTCATTTAGCGATGTTCCCCCGGCTTGCCTTGCGTCATTTCATTCCTTTCCTTCACCTCTAAACAATCTTGCGGAGAGAGGTTACAAAGTCTCCTACTTATTGCCCAAGCTCTCCCAAGTTACAACAGCTCAACCACCGCCCAGATTTATACACTTCTTTCCTCTTGTGATTCTCCATGTTGGTCGTCTCCCTCCCGGTGCTGAAACTGCTTCCGATGTACCATTCCCTCTTCATGAACTACTTGCTTCTGCCATATATGGACAAACCTCGAGATCAAGTTGCGACCATTCTGATCAAGAAGTCTGAGGCCAGACATTGTCTTCTTCGATTTTGGACGATGGATTCCCTCAATAACCGTCAATTAGGCACCAAGTCAATGTACTATTCCGCGGTTAATGCATGCTCATTTGCGTTCTTAACATCTCCAGGTCTGATCACTCGGGAGACGACCTTGAAGAGTGAACCGACTACCGCCTGGCTACCCTTCCACTACTGTGAAGATAAATTCAATGAGGCCCCTCATATTGCCAGCTAAACAATCCCCGTGTAGGGGCTTTCTTTTACGTGCGGTTAACTACCGGCTTGAAATGGTGTGATGCAATTGCTTTCGATCATGCAAGAAATTGAGGGAGCTTATTCTGACTATCTTGCACAACAGTATTCAAACCTGCGTTGTTAACAGGGCATGTATCCTGAAACACCAGCTACACAGCTTGAAGAGAAATGGGATAAGTGGCAAACAAGTTTCAGCCAGATTCAGGGGGTGATTATGTATTTGGTAGCCAAATTCCAACAAAATTAACAATTCCAAGAGATGGTGTTGGGGTTTGAGTTAAGTGGGTTTCCGTTCTTGGTTGCTTTAACGCCACCTGAGGATGATAACCATCGAACAAGCATTGTTTTTAAGAGAGAGTTGGGAGAGAGGTTGGATCCATGGAGGATGGGTGCCGCAGACACTGATACTAAAACACGGTTTTTCTGAGTCACTGTATTTTACTATGGATTTGGCTGTTGCAGGAATCTTTGGTTAATGATTGCAAAAATGGTGTTGACTCGATTAATTTTATATAGCTAGCATACATAATATTATTCATTATTCAATAGAAACATTATCCACTAACTTGGTGTTGTGAGGTATGAAACTAAAACTTAGATTATACCGTAAATATAATGGCTTAAGCCTAAAAGATCTGTTAAATGTATTATTATTTTAGGCTTAAGCCATGTTAGTTTTATTATTTATTTGGGCTTAAGCCATGTTAATGTACCGTCCTATTATATTTGGTCTAAGTCACTACGTAGTTTAGGTTTTCTAATCGTTTTTTAGCTCACATCATCGTGTTAGTAGGATCATAATTCTTTTTGAAAAATATTGTATTATTTATTCAGAGAATAATAAGTAGACTTTTTTCACAAAATAAAATATTTGTTCCATATCTATAATTTGGTGTATATATATTTTTTACACCATAAATAAACTTGATATCAAAGCCTCCTCTTGTATTACTGATCACCTTAGATTGTTTGCTGATCTACAAAGAAATCTTACAAAATTTTCATCAAAATAAATGATAAAAAATAATAAATAAATAAAAAAAATCAAACTTATTAGATTTTTCTTAAATTATTTGTTTTCTATTATAATGTTATGTCTTGTGGTGGTAGTGCTCCTCCTTTTTTTTTTATTTGAATGGCTACGCACACCTTGATTAATCTTTAAATCCCATTAAATACTTTATAAATCTAATGTTCTAAGTAGGGTCGTCTTAAAAATATTTATGACTCTAGGTAAAAGTTATTTTGGGGGTCTTCTAATAATATAAGCATATATTAAAAAAATTATTTCAAATTTATTTTTCTTACCTTTTGAGATGCAAAATCACTGGAAGAGGTAGACGACGACCAACAGGCTAACGGGGTTAAGTTGGTGGGAGGTTTTGGAGAACAGATGCTAGAGAAGTGATGGGTGGTGAAATGAGTGATTTCCAATGCTAGGATTGATCGGAAAAGACTTGAGAAGTCACAGCCCAAAAAGTATCGTTGGCCGGTGATTGGCAGAGTAAACAGATAGGTATGATAGAGGTTTTTGGTGAGGAGGCAGAGGGGAGGAAGATGGTGGTGTTGGGGAAGGCCAACGATGCCAAGTACATGCCGAAAAGGCTAGAAATGGCTGTCGAACGCGGTGGAGGTAGGTTGCGAGATTCGTAAAAAATGGCCAAATAGAGGGCTATCAAGGCTAAAAAAACACTTGGAGAATGATAAAGTGATGGTTTCGATCAATTTTGGTGAAAAAATTTCACCGAAATCAGCTCCAAACGGCTCGCGCGAAAGAGGGGTGGAGATGATTTATGTGAATGTTGAAGTTTGGGATTGAATCGGGGGTGAGTAATTTGAGACATGTAAATGACCATCTTAGTCTTTCATTGTTAAAAGAAATTCAATGTGTTAATTTAGGAGTGTAAATTAAAATATATGAAACTAGAGATACAAACTTGCCATTTCGTCAAACTTTGGATGNACTCGGGATCAAGTTGAGACCATTCTGAGTAGTCTGAGGCCATACATTGTCTTCTTCGATTTTGGACGATGGATTCCATTAATAACCCGTCAATTAGGCACCAAGTCAATCAACTGTTCCGCGGTTAATGCATGCTCATTTGCGTTCTTAACATCTCCAGGTCGAAGAATTACTCTGGAGACTACCTTGGAAGAGCGAATCCGACTACCGCCTGCCTACCCTTCCACTACTGTGAAGATAAAACGCCATGAGGCCCCTCATATTGCTGGGCTAAACGATACCGGTGCAATGGTTTCCCTTTACCAGCGGTCAACTTCCAGCTTGAAAGAAAGCCATGCAATTGCTTTCAGATAATGTCAAGAATCCAAGGCTCGGAACATTTGTGACCCTAGACAGAAGTTATTTTGAGGGTTTTCTAATAATATAAATATATATTAAAAATATTATTTCAAATTTATTTTTCTTGCCTTTTGAGATGCAAAATCACTAGGAGAGGTGGACGATAACCGGTGGGCTAACGGGGTCAGGTTGGTGGAGGGTTTTGGAGAGCGGATGTTGGAGAAGCGATGGGTGGCAAAATGGGTTATTTCCAATGCCAAGATTGATCGGAAAAGGCTTGAGAAGTCGCGGCCCAAAAGGTATCGGTGGTCGGCGATTTGCAGAGTAAACGGATAAGGTATGATAGAGGTTTTGGTGAAAGGGCTGAGGGGAGGAAGATGGTGGTGTTAGGGAAGGCCAACAACGCCGGGTATTTGCTGAAAAGACCAGAAATGGTTGTCGCGCGTGGTGGAGTTGGGTTGCAAGATTCTTCAAAAATTGGTTAAATGAAGAGCTATCAAGGTGGGAAAACACTTGGGAAATGATAAAGTGATGATTCCGATCACTTAGGTGAGAAAATCGACTGGAATCAGCTCCAAACGGCCGGCGACGAAAGAGGGGTGAAGATGATTTAAGTTAATATCGAATTTTGGGATTGAATTGAGGGTGAGTAATTTAAGACATATAAATGACCATTTTAGCCTTTCATTGTTAAAATAAATTTAATGTGTTAATTTAGGGATGTAAATTGGAATATATAAAATTAGAGGTATAAACTTGCTATTTCGTATTTTGGGTGAGAATATATATACAAAGTTTATAATAAATTTGAGCCTTTTTTACTTCTTTTTTTGGGGGCCTTAAGCTAACGTGAGTAAAAAATTATACATTACTTTCATTTTTGTAATATATTCAAAAATAAAAAAAATTAGGCCCTTTTTTACCCTATTTTTGGGGGGCCCTACCCCTTGAGCCGGCCCTGCAAGAATCTGGGGGAGCTTATTCTGACTATCTTTCACAACAGTGTTCAAAGCCTGTGTTGTTAACACTTAACAGGGCATGTATAGCCTGAAACACCAGCTGCACAGCTTGAAGAGAAATGGGATAAGTGGCTGAACAAGTTTCAGCCAGATTCAGTGATGTATTGTGCATTTGGTACCCAAATTACTCTACAAAAAGAACAACTCCAAGAGATGATGTTGGGGTTTGAGTTAAGTGGGCCACCTGAAGGATGTTCAACCATCGAAGAAGCGTTACCTGAGGGGGTTTGAAGAGAGAGTTGGTGGGAGAGGTTGGGTAGGAGGAGGATGGGTACCGTAGTCACTGTGGATTTGGTTCCATGTGGGAATCTTTGGTTTGTGATTGCCGAATACTACTCATTCCAATTCTTCGTGACCAATTTATGCGTACAAGATTAATGATAGAAGAATTGAAGGTGGCAATAGAAGTTGAGAGAGGAGAAGACGGGATTATGGGGAAGGAAGCTTTGAGCAAAGCAATCAAGTTTGTAACGGACAACAACAGTGAATTGGGTAATTCATTGAAGACCAATCATGTTAAGTTGAAAAATTTAATCCGTCAAAGGATTGGCAAGATGAGAAGATTGATAGTTTCGTTCGAGACCATCAATTTATTTTGGAAGCTGGGAAATAGAAAACTTAAATGCATAAGCAAGTTCACAAATTTATGTTGTTTCAATTTGTAGTGTATGTGTTAAGTCATCAGATGTTTTACATTGTTCTTATGTCCAGTCGTTTACCTTAAGAATTTGTGATGAACTTGGCAGTTGGCTCAGCTAGCCAAAGAATTTGTGTTTAATTACTTCATAAATTAATCAAAAGGAGTTAATCCTTCAAAACCCCTTGCAGTTTTTGTGGTCGTAAGTGGGCAAAGATCCGGTTGGAGGAGATTCTTCCCTCCTCAAATCTCAGATTTTGAGAGACATAAGATTATAGTTGAGCTTGGTGATGAGCATAATCAAAAAGTAAATTTATGGCCAATGCTAAGGGCGTTAATTTGCTGTTTACACATAAAAAGGGAAAAAGGGTTTCTCCCCCAGCAAATAAAAGAATAAAGTATAAGAGGTGTGTAAGAGGGCCTGGAGAACATGATGTAAAGATTAAATTATATATATGATATTCTCTCATAAATGGTACAAAGACAAATCTAGTGAGGTGAGATTGGACTTGGTTTTGATTTAATTAAATTAAACCCAATTGGATTATATATAATATTGTCTCAAGTGGGTGTAGGTAAAATATCTTTCTTCCTTGCTATTAAATATCTGAATAAAGATAACAAAGATATAATAGCCTTCTCATTTAACAGTCAGTGCCACGGATATAATTTTGCATTTCAGCCATCACAAGTTCAGTTAAACATGTAACTACTCAATGCAATTAATTCCGATAATGAGATCATTATATATAAGAGGTAACAAGAACATCAAACAATTAATCATGGATCCATCAATAAAGCAATAACCTCAAAATGATACTTACATGGTGTAGGTTAGTGCCTTTCCAGAAAGAGTCAAAACTTCCGGAAACAATCTCAGTTAGAAATCTAACAAATCAATCCAACGGCTGCTTCATCATTACTATGGACTTTATAAGAGAGCAGAGGCACAATTTCTCAAATGTACAGTGAAAAGAAACGTCTGTATTAGAATCTACAGGAACCAGGACGCCATCTCTGAATACAAATTTTGGATCAAATCTGAGTTGGGTATTTGCTTCAGTCGCACTTCCACCTCCAGAGTGACAACTGCATTCCATTGGAGCAACTAAACTATTTCCTGTACTCTCACAATGGCATGTAACCAGTTCTGGATATTCAGAGAACTTTTCAGGATTTCCTTGTCTCAGGTTTTCGTTGAAAGCATTATGACTGCTACTGGTAACTTTTCTAACTAATGAAAGGAGATCCACGGATAATGATGCAACAACATCATGAACATCCTCTACTGTCCATTTGCTCTCATTCAATCCCAATGTATGAAGAAGAATTTTCTGCATCAAATCGTGGAGGGTGCTTAGGCATTCAATGCAAACATGATATGAACACGTGACCCCAGAGTATTCAGAGAGACTGGGAGTTTTACTAGAACATAAGTCAACATCGTCGACAGTATGTTCACTAGGATCAGGCTTACCATCATTAGATGAGGTTTTGACTTGTGTCTCTGACAACCCATTAACCTGATCACTAGGTTTTTGGGAATCAGATAAATTGATACCACCGAATTCATCAGAACAGTCAGGACCATTCTCCGAAAGGATAACAGGTTCTTTGACTGCAAATCCATTGGAATGCTTCAAGGACTCAGAACCCATATCGACAACTGCATTATCCAAAGTCGTCTCTGACTCACATGTTCCAAGATTACTTCCATTCTGTTCATTTAAAATTTTATCAACTGATTGATCAGTAACTGAATCATGAAGATTTGTATCAAATGAAGTATCAGGAAGAACAATATGCTCTGCAGATCCCTGTTCCAAAATCTCAGCTCTCCTCTCAGGATCAGGATACGCAGAATCATCATGTCCATTGTTCAAGCTAAGAGATTCAATGTGTTCAACCTCAAACCCCTGAGACTTACTTTCAGTGACTTCTGGTTCAAGAGAGCTTTTGGTAGTAACATTTAGCTTGCACTCGTCACTTTGAATAGAATTATCCTCACATGCATGACTATCATCCGGACATCCCACAATATCAAGCTCAGGGTTTGCAACTTTTATCTGAGCATCCGACTCTAAACTGAAAAATTTAAGTACTTATTGTTAGAGTTATCAATTAGCAAATAAAAATGGAATCACAAACATATAATTATAATGGCAAAAAATACCTCTGCAAGGCGTACACCCAGCTATTAACCACATCTTCCAGATAAGCCACTTGTGATAAAAGACGGATATATTGACACCTATCTTTCCCAGCTTGAACTTTTGCATTAATCTCTCCAACTATGAGTTCAAGAACCCTCCGTACATCTGAGGAAACTTCTCTAAGTGATGCATATACTCCTCTATACGCCAATAAACCGACAGCAATTAGACCTCTTACCAAACCAGATTTTTCTTTCCCATTGATATTGCTGGAGCCAGAAGCAACAGTTACCGTTTCCACTGAATCACTAGGACGAATAATACAAGAATTGAATGGCCATCCCTTCCAAGGTCCATTTATGTCTGCACAAGGACCATCCTTTAACTTTGATGTGAACCAACAAAGTTCAGCAAAATGAGGATATCGCAGAATTTGATAGCCAAAAGTAGATATAGCTACCAGCAAGCTTGACCTTCCCTTCAAAATTTTATTGTTGGGCGTTGGAGGCACTTTTACAGAAGAATCTTCAGGAAATTCGGTTCTATCCTTCTGTTCATTAGCTAAACCATGATCTATACTGTTAAGTACCGTGTCTGTACAGACTTCAGTGAAACCACGAGTTTTGTGCTCTTTGCAATAATTTGTATGGGCATGAGTTCTTTGATGAACCAACTGAACAACCAGTTGAATTATATCCCTTGATAACTCTGCTGCAGATAGATTAATAACCATATCACATTTGAAATTCCCACCAAGCTGTACAGAAAACCGGGGTACTGTGTGCTCCAAGGGGATTGGAAGGTTACAATTTGATGTATGACTCCCAAAAAACTGCCTCACTCTTGGTGGGAGTGAAGAATACGGAACTTCTGAAGTAGCCTGTTGGGCAAAAAAAAAAAAAAAAAGTATTATAATTTGAGCAAACAACAGTTAACAACATGAGACACTACGATAATAAGAGGAGAGAAATCTTGAGAAATAATCAAAATGTTTACAAGATCATAGCTAAAAGGAGATCTTAAACTGGAAGATTAAAAGCAAACAAATTTCAGGATCAATTTAAAAAATACTTGTACGCTTTTATTATTCCTCCCAATATGATGCAACTTATGTCTTGCTTAGAAACAATCATGAGATTATAGCCAAACAAAGTAAACATCATTGTCCAACCAGTTCCTTTTTTATTTCTGCTCTACTAAGAAATAGTCAAACTCAAGCAACAAGTTAAAATTTTCAAGTCAGTCAGATAATTAGACAGGTGAGTACATCATGCAAATGTTCCCCATACATTTTCTTAGTCTATTTCTATGCAGTATTACAGAAAATGGCGTAAAGTGAAACAATGTGCAAAAGAGCTAAAAAAACCGAAAACGGGGGCTCCTTTAACCTACTAAACAACCCTTTGTTTTCATGTGAACTCAAAAATATTTTCTAATTCAATTTGTCCACCATAAAGAGAGTTACATTATAAATTATTGTGAATAGAACTATATGAAGCAAATAATTGGATTAAAAAAACATATGAAAGTTGATGCCTTATACCAACTTGCTCACAAAAAAAAATAATGTGAAAAAATAATGGTCATACAAATTACACAGCGTGAAAATGTTGCTTATTTACACAGTTTTCACACATCGAGAACTAAATTTTAGTAGTAATATTAACATTAGTGTGACCAATTGTCAAAAAATTGGTGGGAAGAACACAATAGCTTAATCATGCCCAAATATACATTTTTACTGACAGGAAAATATCATAAAGGATCAACAAGGAAGGAATTGCACTTGTACCAGAATCATCACAGTTGTAGTGACACACAGAGATTCCAACTGCTCAACAAATGAGCTCCAGGCATGCGAGCTACCCTGAAAATCCATGGTCTCAGCTAATTTCTGTTTCTGCAGATGGGAATCAATTTTCTTTTCAAAAACTCCCTCATGTGCTAAAGAAGATCCATTGCTCGAAGGTGGATTGTTTGTTGAAGAAGAATCAATCTCCTCATTTACTTGCTGAAGTGTCTCTATAGCCCACAAATCAATTCTGGGCATGAATACTAAGCATGACCCCACACTAGTACATTTCACTGCCACAAAAATAGATAAAAATGAGGCTTTTAAACTAATCAAACGCTACCACTAGTTTTACAGCACATTATATGATTGGCAGTGCAGAATTGAGCTTAAACGCACGTTATTTACCAAGAAAAGACAGCTATTTCACATGAAGGGATTAACTAAAATATTCATACTGTTTGCTCAAGCCAAGTCGAAATTTTAGGAAGTATACATGAAACAGCAATTAGTGTCAAACAGGCTTATAGCATTACGTCATAAACATCAACAAGTCAAGGAATGTCTGTGGTTAATCTCTAGCGAATTACTTTATTGAGTTGGTTTGTACCTAGTAACAGAGTTATTCTCTTTTTCTTTTATTAACAGAGTTAGTCTCTTTTTCTTTTATCACATTGACCCAATTACCATGTATGCAACTTACTAGGCAGCAAAGCAAAAGGAACTCTCTAACATACATTCAAATTTAGACCAAAACATCACCCTTCATATATTTCTTTGTTTGTTTATTTATTTATCATAAACTCTGAGAAACATGTGCCACTACAGGCAGAAATTTTCAAACCTCCCATACATCATATGAACCATATTAGCTTAATTCTAGAACCAAGGCCTTGACGTGTAATGGTAATACCACAAATTTGTCTGTAATATGAACTCTAGTAAAGCATAAGAACTATGCACATGAAAACCTCAAGTATTGATGTACTTCCTCTCTTGATTGCAGACTGAATAAACACATTTGTGATGTTATCCTCGTCGGTGCAACCTAACCCCAGGTTAATCTGTGTCCTGAAAAACATCAGCCACCTCTCACATTTCTATGTTTTTTTATCATTTTNCACATTATATGATTGGCAGTGCAGATTTGAGCTTAAACGCACGTTATTTACCAAGAAAAGACAGCTATTTCACATGAAGGGATTAACTAAAATATTCATACTGTTTGCTCAAGCCAAGTCGAAATTTTAGGAAGTATACATGAAACAGCAATTAGTGTCAAACAGGCTTATAGCCTTACGTCATAAACATCAACAAGTCAAGGAATGTCTGTGGTTAATCTCTAGCGAATTACTTTATTGAGTTGGTTTGTACCTAGTAACAGAGTTATTCTCTTTTTCTTTTATTAACAGAGTTAGTCTCTTTTTCTTTTATCACATTGACCCAATTACCATGTATGCAACTTACTAGGCAGCAAAGCAAAAGGAACTCTCTAACATACATTCAAATGTAGACCAAAACATCACCCTTCATATATTTCTTTGTTTGTTTATTTATTTATCATAAACTTTGAGAAACATGTGCCACTACAGGCAGAAATTTTCAAACCTCCCATACATCATATGAACCATATTAGCTTAATTCTAGAACCAAGGCCTTGAAGTGTAATGGTAATACCACATATTTGTCTGTAATATGAACTCTAGTAAAGCATAAGAACTATGCACATGAAAACCTCAAGTATTGATGTACTTCCTCTCTTGATTGCAGACTGAATAAACACATTTGTGATGTTATCCTCGTCAGTGCGACCTAACCCCAGGTTAATCTGTGTCCTGAAAAACATCAGCCACCTCTCACATTTCTATGTTTTTTTATCATTTTTCGATTACTTTCAAGGATCCACAACCACGCACAACTGTAACTTAATGTCACCTAGTCCCCATCCTGAGAGGCACCCTAATAGCTAACAATATATTACCAATTATTGACAAATTCTAGAAAACATTTGCGATATGAGATTGAAAAAACATAAAATAGATCAGGTGACATCGAGACTGGGAAGAAAATTGTAACTGATCCTCAAAAAGTAAATAATCATGAATATCATTTCTCTCTAACATTAAACCATAATCATCAACAAAACAGCCATAGATAAAACAGAAGTTAAAGGAAAGGAATTGTACTTAATAGCTGTGTTAAACCCTGCACTAAATCATCATGTCCTTCTTGAGAAATTGTCGCCAAATCAACCTTCTGAATTTCCACATTTCCAACAAAACAGTGAAGAAGACAAGCAGCAAGGTGCCTCTGGCCAGATCTTGGACTTCCAGAGATCAAGATCCGAAATCCAGATTTCTTCTTTGATGCAAAAGATATATTTTTAAACAAACTAGTGTGCATACCGCAACCATGCATTATAGCAGGTTCATAATTGGCATTGTCATCACAAGTATCACTGGCACAAGCATCAAAACCAGCAAAGGTAACCTCTCCAGTTATAACACCAGCCTGTGAAAGCCTTCTCTCTATATTCTTTGCTACGTCTGCTTCTTGAAGAAAAACATCAACATAAGACCACCAATGATCACTTGGAATGTTCTTCTTATTCAAAGCTGAAAAAATCAAACTTTTAACCATTGTTGCAGCTTTAGTAAGACGAGGAGGCAACCACAGCCGCTCATCAAGATAAAGTGAAACAAGCAAGGTGGATAACGGTTCCAACAGACAAGGAATCAGGTGGGTGGAAAGAGGAGAGGATACTAAATCATAAGCGGCAATTCCTGCTTCTCTACGTGAGCATGGTGGTGGGGAACATGACAAAGCTTCCAACCAATCCCTCTCCTCCACGGCGAAGGAAGGAAGAGGAATACGTTTAGCACCAGAATCTTTCTCCGCAGCAGCAGACAATGTTTCTTGGAGAGGGAAATTCCTTTTCAAAGCAACTATAGCTGCTTGAGTACAAAGAGCCTGCAAATCAGCACCAGCAAAGCCAGTAGTTCTACTTGCAATCCACTTGAGCAATGATCCAGTTATTGGTTTTGGCCACCTTTGTGTGTGAAGTGAGAGAATAGCAGCCCGGTCCTCCATGGATGGCAACGGAAAATAAATCTCCCTATCAAATCTACCAGGCCTCCTTAACGCCGGATCAACAGCTTCAGGACGATTTGTTGCACCTATCACCACCACTGAACCTCGAGATTTTAGACCATCCATTAAAGCAAGCAATGTGGATACAACTGAACTATGAGTCTGATCTTGCTGCCTTGTTCGCTGAGGTGCCAATCCATCTATTTCATCAAAGAATATTATAGAAGGCTGACATTTCTCAGCAACTTGAAACAAAAGTCTTAGCTGACGTTCAGCATCACCAACATATTTTCCTAAGCAATCTGCACCTTTTCGGGCAAAATAAGCTATCCGTTTATCACCACGAGCACATGAGCCAATTAATGCCCGTACTACCAAGGTTTTACCTGTTCCAGGGTAACCATGCAAAAGAACACCTCTAGGAGGAGTAAGCCCCAGATTATCAAAGAACTCAGGATATAACAGAGGCAAAATGACAACTTCCTTCATGCAACGAATAACGTCTTGAAGCCCAGCAACAGATTCCCAACCCTCATATAGTTTTCCACTCTCAGAGTCTGGACCACCAATATAGACAGGTGCAATTCTAAACAAATCTCGATGAAGTCTCTTGCTCTCACGCTTTAAGAACTCTTCATCCTCACCGCAGTTCTCCAACCATTTTTCTTCTGCTTCAACATCCTTTCGCCAAGAATCATTTGACAGCTTCCTCATTTCCAACTTCATTTTTCTAGCTTTCAATTTCTTTATCCTGTCTAAATATTGATTTCCATGAGGTTGAAAGAGATGCCGATGATCTGTACAGGCTATGAGAAATTTCCGATGATCAAAGATGCAGCCATTAGCTCGTGCACAGGGCTGTCCAAGCATAAAATGTCAAAAGCAAGAAAAAAAGGGCTAATAAGTACAATACTATAGGCTGCCTTATACTCCAGTGAAACAAAAGAGCAAATCAAATACCAAGTGGTAAGTTTTTGGACACCGATCAACACGACATCCAATAGTTGCACCAGGCCTCCCACAGCGGGTGCATTTTAGGGCTCTTCCTCTGCAGAGAGCAGCCCTTACATTTTTTAAGCATCCCAGACCAGCAAAATAGACCTGCAAAAATGAATCATCATGTATGGAAACTTACTGAGTAAAAGAGATTGTTGACTTTCGGCGGTAAACCTACAAAGTCGTCTTAGCAAAATCATAATTAAATGAAAAACTTTGCCATGTCAATTAAAAAAAAAAAAAAATGGGCAATCAAGTGGCAAAGATTGTTGCTTACTTCCTACAAATATGTTCCATCACAGAGCAAGAATAGAGTGGTGTAACGTGGAGCTTTGATGATGTTATAAACACACAAAATTGGTAACTATACACGCAGGAGATAATCATCGAGATCACCTAGGGCAGAAAGCTAGCAATTTTAAACCTGGCAAGGCATACTACCTCCATTAATTAAGAGCAGACAACTGTATAAACATTATTAGCTAAAATATTGAACTCAACAAAGTTACAAGTTCATGGAATTTTTATTCAAGGAAAACAAAGTACATGGAACTAATCTCTTCAATGGAGAAGCAAAAATTGCCTCAACCATCAACTTTTTATGATCCTGTTAATGCCTTTGAAGTCCTTTGACTTCGACCAAACAGGACTAAGAGAAAAAAAAGTTCAGAAATTGAAGAAAAACCTCCACCTCCTACCCATAATCCTAGATTAGTGAAAGATCTTTCATTATAACCGTGATGTAAATGGCATTGCCTTAGATATGAAAGCTAAAAAGATAGGATGGACAAAATGTTAATCCAAACCCCTAAATGATAATTCAAGCAAAAAATTTTGGGCTGAACTTCAGCATTTTGATCTGAAATGGTTTTGTTTAATCAAAATGAAATTTGGAAAGACAACTAAATTGAGAAATTTCAGTACCCTTTTCATCATTTCTTTTAGCAAGACCAAGTCAAAGTTCTTTTGTTTATAAGAAAATAATTAAATGCCTACGACTTGAAAAATGATGAAATCATGTAATTGGTGCAACACGTTGAAATGGTTGCTTAAAGTTCCAAACCGATTTAAGTCCAAACATCTCTCTTGGATGCCAATGAGTGATAATATATTAACTTTCTTAAATGCTGAACAAACCCTACACTTCCATACACAAAGAATAGAAACAAGTACCATATTCAACAAATATTTTTATTTTCAATGTCAAGCAAGCTCAAAGACCATAATTCTTTACAGATATAACAAGACTAGTAAATAATTAATCTGTACAAGCAATAGGGCCTTGTATAAGACAATGCACTGCAGAGAATTCCAACAAGTATTTATGTAAATCATATAGTTGATCTCAGCAGAATTAAAAAGAAGAAAAGAGAAGCATGAATGAAAAAAGCACAGATATTTAGTTTTTACTCATGCTGGGCAGACAGCAAATAATAAATCATTTCTGAAATAAGCACATATACATAATATTGTTCAATCAACCAAGCAAAACATAAAAGGAAAAAGAAAATAAAAGATCAAATTTAATCACCTCTGGACTCCAAACAGCACAGTGTTGATGAACCCAGATTCCAGCTATACCATAACGATCATTTATAGGGCCCAAGAGACGGCCAAGCCACCCAGGTTCATCACCAAATCCATCCCATAAATCATAGGTAGGCTCCTCTGAAGCTGAAGACCCACTGTAGGCCTCATTTTCACTCTCACCCACATCTTGGATCAACCTCTTTGGAGGCTTACCATCATTCCCACAACCACATAAACCACACCACCTCCCCTGTTTAATGCGTGGCCTGCCAAGCGTATCATTTGAACCACGGTTGATCTCATCCACCATTGATGCACTCATGCCTTCAGAAGGTTTTCCCTCAAGACTCACAGGACAATCATCCTTTTGATCATCAGCCCCTCCATCTTCCACGTTGTTTTTTATATTTCCAACATCTTCTCCACCATCCTGTTGATCTTCTCCTTCTTCTCCACCCTCTAAATGCTCCCCTTCTTTATCGCTCAGCCTCGTTGTTTCCACCAGTTCCTCTTTTTCATCACCAATGCAATCCCCTTCTATTTCCTTGCCACTCAATACTTCCCTCTCCTCTTTCTCATAAACCTCTTTAGCAGCACCCTCCGCTCTTTCCATCTCATCTTCACCAACCATTCCACTCCCCGAAGCTGGCATACTCTCATCACCCTTGTTGCTCACCACCTCCACTTCCTCCTCCCTTTCACTCTCCTCCTTCATCCCACTTGTCTCTATCTCTTTCTCCTCCTCATGCATTTCTTCTTCCTTCTCACTTATTTCCTCTTCCTTCTCACTTATTTCCTCTTCCTTCTCACTAATTTCCACTTCATCCCGTAAACTATCCTCCTCCTCTAAGCTGCCTCTTGTCTTATTTACTACCACCAAGTCACCATCTTCCACTTCTTTCTGCATACTCACCCCACTCTCCACAACCTCCTCAGCCATTCCCCCAAAGAGTTCCCCTCTGCCACTCAGCTCACCGCTCTCCTCAGTCCTCACTTCAAACCCCACATTCCTCCCTCTTGACCTCAACCTCAACCTTGACCCCCAAACCCCCGGCGACACCATTTTATCACTCTCCTCCTCTTTACCCTTCCTTAAACTACTATTTAACTTCTTATTAACACCTGAATTAACATTTCTATCAACTCTACGCCTCTTTTTAACAGGTTGTGGTGACACATCAAGCAATACTGGAGCCCGTCTCACCCGAGAGCTTCTACGAAGCTCCAGGTCGGGCATGGACGTCCCCGGCGCCCCCTCTTCCTCATTACCTTCATTTGATTCAATATGATTCCTATTATACTCCTCTTCGCATATTGCATCTAGCCTCTTGTGCTTCTTCCGAAGCCGAGGCCCAGACAAATTACTATCCCTCCTCTTCGAAACCGATGCCGGCGATAATTTCATCACAAAATATATAGATAATGTTGTGCGTATATATATCAATAACACTATCTATAAATATATCTTTTCTATCTATACACTAATGTGTTTATCTAAAATCTCATAATTTACACCAATGGGTATTGATCGATCTTGATTTTTGGCCAAATGGTTGTATGATTACCGGAAGATTACTAAGAAAAGCATTCAAATGAAGATTTGACAAGGTGACTCACCTGTTTTTGGCTGAGTTGAACTGGAGGACCTATATGATAGTGACATGAACCCAAACCCTAGAAATCGATTTGGTTTTGTGTTTTGAATTTGTTTGTGTTGTTAGGCTTTTTCTGGTTCTTCAAACAATATTTTATAAGTCTTTTTCTCTCCAGATTTTCTCTTTGCTGTTTCTAAAGACTAAGAGTTATAGAAAGACTAGGGTTATACTGATACGCTTTTTTTATTTTTCATTTTTTTAATTCTCGTTTTCGGGGATTATACCACGCGCATAAGAGACAGTGTAGATTGTGAATAGAATGTTTTTGTTTTATTTTTATTTTTTTTAGTGTTAAACACGTATTTTAAAAAAAAAAAAAAAAAAAAACCTTGATAATAGGTAAATTAAAGTGATATTTTAAGTTCTAATCATTAATAGACCTGATGTAAAGATAAAAATGAACTATTGTAATGATTTTTTTAATAAATACTTGATAAACATTTTTTGAAAAATATATTTAAAAATACTTTTGAAACATCAAAAATAATTTCAATTTTGCATACTTTTTAGCATATTGTTTAAAAGAAATAAATTTTTTTATCAAAAAAATTTTTTTGTAGCGTTTTTCAAAAAAGTGATCTGAAAAGAAAATTCAAAAATTGTATACAAATTTTGAATAATAAGATCATTTTTATATTAAAATTTATAAATATATAGCAGCAAGCATTTCAAATATTTTATAAACATAACATAAAAGCATAATTAGGAAATTTTATAAAGTTAGGATGGAGGGATGATTAATAATAGAATTGAGTGATGTAGGAGGGTGACAGCACGCCCTATGGAGGAGAGTGAGGAAGGGGTTTAGAAAGAAGAAAAATATGGTTAATTATGTGGAATTTTCTAAGTTGCCGCCAAATATGCGTTGGGTTTTTGTTTTTTTTTTTTTTTCTTTCTAACAAATTGGTGGTTTGTGAAAATCAATAAAACCAAACCCAACGGCTCTTCAATTGCAAACCAAACCTCCAAATATGCCTTTATTCTTACAACTATATTTTGAAGTAGTGGTCATTTGTCCTATCCTTTCTCTTTTTTTTTTTTTTTTTAAGTAAATTTTTTATTACCAAAATGTCCTAATTAGCTTCACCTCAATTAATCTTCAAGACTCATTGAATACCTTACAAACTCAATATTCCAAAGTAAACTACAAAATTATGATAGATAATCCCGATATGGTTTGAATCACAAAATTCGATGAAAGGAACAAATCTTCTTGACCATCAATCCTTTGGGGTTTTGTTCCATCTCTTTTACATGTTTATTTCTTAATTTAAGATTATCTACTCTATGAATAAGTATATAAATGAGAATATACATGGATCCATCAAAATTGAACAGGGTTGAGTTCGATTGGTAGAAAAAAAAATCAAGATAATATTTGAATTAGGAGATTATTAATTTCAGATATCGAAAATAATAGAGCCACCGAAGATTGCGCACCGAATCTATACACCGAATAACGTAACAAAATCCTGACCATTGATTAATATTAACTGATAATGAATCAACAGTCAAGATTTTACCACGTCATTCAATGCGCAACCTTTAGTGACTGTAGTATTACTCTTCAGATATTATATCATCATGAATATAGATGTGAGTAACACAAAAGAAATTTGAATAAATGCTAAGTTTCTTCATCATCAATGGAGAGATTGCACAACAGAAATGGTAGTTTGAGTTTCAAATGAATATAAAGATTGGATTTGATGTCTCAAAATTTCTGGTCTATACCAAGAACACAGAAGTGTCATAGGAGGAGCTCTAATCTAACAAAGGAAAAGATTTAGTGCAGCCACAAAAACCATCTAATACCAGTAAACCAACAACAGGGATGACATCTAAAGGAAAAGAAAAATCAACTCAAGCTATGGTGCTAAATATAATCTCTATCTTTACCGTTTCTTTTCACCGTATTCTGTTGCCCTAGCTGCATTTGTGGAGCAGAAAAGGAGCAGCTCAATCAGAATGGGCCGTGCAATAGTCAATTTCTCTGACCAAATAATTTTTGGAGCTTCCAAAAACTGAAGCATCAAGATCTCACCTGGAAGAGAGACGGAAGAGAAGCATCATGACTGTGGGAACCAAGTAAATACAATTTTCCCGACAAATTATCATTTCTACATACTATAATCTGCAAATACAGATCTATCCAAACAAAAAAAAAAAAAATAACACCTAAGCTTATGCAACTTCCTTTTTGTTGTTATCAAATACGATCCTTGTATAAAAAATCAACTTTTTGAGAACTAGGATTCCTCCATGCAGTAATCTGCATAAGTGCACCATCAGCAAGCATGCGTTGCAAGACTCTAGCTATGTTCTTTGTGTCATCAATCCCAAGATGGTGACTTCCGAACATTGGCATTTGGCGGTTTTTCATCATTCCCATCATTCCTGTGGCCTGTCATTCATAATTAATCAAGCATATGAAATAAAAAGATAATTTTGCCAATATACTAACAAAACAGACAGTATAAACTGATTCCATGTTGATGAAAAACCTGGTTCACCCTCATCATTGGTCAGTTCACTAGTGCTTCAAGTTTGGGTTTGGGCTAGGTTGAAAAAGTAGATCCAGTCTATGTTTGAGAAGTTTAGCATCAATTCAAACTTCAAACCAGCAAGTTTGTTTAAATCTTGGACAGATGCTCAAAAAATTTGGCTTGTTTAATTCCTTATGTAAACTGTACAAAACCGAATTGATCACCCAACCCAAACTGAGTTTGCATCCAGAGAAAGTAAACCCCCCTCCCAAAAAAAAATTGTTAAGCCATCAAATTATAGTCCTGGTGGAACATAAGGGAGGAAATAACAGAGAAAACATGTATGGGCATACCTCCTTCTTTTTAGTTTTGTAAAAGTTATAAAAGGCATCCTTCAAATTGATCCACTCCATAAAATATGGAGGAAGCTTGATATTTGAGACTTTGCATTGATCAGGGACCTTTGTCTTCAAATCCCAATTTCCACTAAAATACCAACAGAGAAAATTACTTCAGTGAACCAGACATTTCCAACAAGTAGAGGCTTTACAAATCTCATGGAGCCCCTCATGGAAGGAGACTCACCAAGTTACAAATGCTGCTCCATGAAGACGACTGCCTTGTTCTTTCCCCCACAAGTGATGCTGAGTCAACCAAGCTTCAAATTGTTCAAGAACTTCATTAAATGGGATAGCTGTATCATGCCAAACACTGCACATATATCTTAAGTAGTTATATCAATTTGCCACCAAAACACAACGACAAATTGGGAAAAGGATTATTACATTCCGTGCCGATTTCTCAGTTTGAAAAAGCTAGATGCAATGCAGCTTATGCAATCATATAAAAACTACAGGTAGAAGAGTACAGTAACAGAAAATTCAGAGACAGTGCAGCATTGCCTAGACTCCATTTAGTTTTGTAAACATGAATTAATGGTGAATATACAATGATAACCTGGACAAGAGATTCCAATAATAGAATTGTAAAATTCAATTATATTCAAATTCTACTGAGATCAAAGAATTAGATGCATACCGATCAACTCCAAATTTTCCATATTTCCCTTCAATGTATTTATTTATATGTTGCTCGCTCATTTTTGAGGGCCTCACAAACCTGTAGATGAACATTTTATTTATTTATTCTCCAACCATGAAATGTCATAAATGATCACAAACCAAATAAAAAAATAATGGGAAAGGTAGAAGATATAGACAATGGCAAGCCTGAATGATCATGCTCTTCAAACAGAAACATGAAGGAAATTTTAAAAGCTCATAACATCTAACACTTCAAGAGCCCAATTCAAATCAAAGTAATTTATCTCAAATAATAAAACACAGGCAACACGAGAAAACATAAAGAAGTTCGAACGAGTCAGCTTCTTTCTAAAAATGAAACGACGATTGCTCCTAAGATAAACTTTAAGCTAGTTATGATCATTTCACTTGGTCAGAAAGTGATTATATATATTTTTATGTTCTAGGATTTTAGATACTCCAAATTGATCTCATCCTTTCACTAAAAAAGGTTCTGATAGATTCTCACCTTGTAGAAATACATGCATATCCATCCTCTTACATTTGAAATTTCTATATAACTCTTAAGGCCATTGGCGATGAACAATGGAGAGACAGAATGATTCAAGTAAAAGACACCAGAGAAACATGTCTTGTGTCACGACCCGACTATTTCCCTTCGGACTCATGCGGCCTTAGGTGCCAATCTCCTAACGACTGCCCTAAGTCAACCTTGCTCACTCACGCTTCTAGCCTTGCAAATAAGAGAACACTCACATAAACTCACTCACAAGAGATGCTAGAAGAGAACTATTTACTAATAAGAAAAAGTTTTACAATTCTTGGATGGTTTGACCAAATGAAGGTCTCCCCCTTTTATAGTAGATGGAGCTTACAATGGACGGTCTAGATCTTCCACAATCAACGATGAAGATTAGCTAACTTCAAACTACCACCTGCCAACTACTATCTACCAACTACCGTATTAATTATAAGATTCTAACAAATACAAGAGTATTCTAGAAGGTTCTAGAGTATCGGGGTGACGCACACCAAGTGTTTGATGAAATACTTGAGAGAGTAAATGTTTTGCTAGAGAGATATCTACGACACTTTATGAGCGCCAACCAACTTGATTGGGCAAAATTAATTGATGTAGCCCAATTCTCATACAATTTGCAGAGGAGTGAAGCCGCCAACAAGAGCCCATTTGAGATGGTGACGGGTCAACGGCCACTCACGCCGCACACCTTGGGTATAAGTTATAAAGGAAGCAGTCCCACGGCATTCAAAGTTGCTAAGTCATAGTATGAGCAAACCGACATCACACAGGCGTATCTTGACAAAGCAACCAAAAAGATGAAGAAGTGGGCGGATGAGAAGCAAAGACATGTGGAGTATAACGTGGGAGATCTAGTACTTGTCAAAATTCTCCCATCACAACACAAGTCCACCCGGGCACTACACAAAGCCCTTGTCTAAGATGTAAGATTTCTCATAATCAAGAGGGTCAATAATGTATCCCACAAGCTTGAATTGCCCTCTTGGTTGAGACTCCATCCGGTCTTCCATGTAAGTTATTTGAAGTCGTACCATGAAGATGCGGAAGATCTGGGAAGAAGAGAATCAAAACAAGCACCATTTGGCAATATCAAGTTCCATGACAAAGAGGTGAAGTGTGTGTTAGTCGATCGTGTCATTCGACGAAAGGGCTATCCTACAAGTCGGGAATATTTTGTCAAATGAAAGGAGCTACCGAAGAGTGAAGCTAGTTGGGAACCCGAAGATGCATTGTAGCAATTCAAAGACAAGGTCCAAAAATTCCATGAAAAGTCGACGAGGACGTCTCCGGATTAGGTAGGGGAGAATGTGACGCCTCTCAAGCATTTCATCAAACACTTGGTGTGCGTCACCCCAACACTCTTCTAGAATACTCTTGTATTTGCTAGAATCTTGTAATTAATAAGATAGTTGGTAGATAATAGTTGGTAGGTGATAGTTTGGAGTTAGCTAATCTCCACTGTTGATTGTGGAAGATCTAGACCGTCCATTGTAAGCTCCATCTACTATAAAAGGGGAAAACCTTCATTTGGTCAAACCATCCAAGAATTGTAAAGCTTTCTCTCATTAGTAAAGAGTTCTCTTCTAGCATCTCTTATGAGTGAGTTTGTGTGAGTGTTCTTTTATTTATAAGGTTAAAAGTGTGAGCGAGCAAGGCTGACTTAGGGCAATTGTCGGGAGATTGGCACCTAAAGCCGCACGAGTCCGAAGGGAAATAGTCAAGTCGTGACAGTTGGTATCAGAGCAGACCCAGTTCGTCTTTTGATGTCTCGCCAAGCACCCACGCAGAGGCGTTCACGTGTAATTGTGGGTCCACATGAGAATAAGGTGGAAGGGTACGCAAGGGGGCCCCATCTGTGACGAGGGCGTCACAGGATTGGATGGAGAAGAATGTAACGAATCCCAAATCAAAAACGTATTAGGAAAGTCCTGGGCTTATAAATGGGTTGAGTCCCTCCACCAAATAGGTTAGCCTTTTGGGTGTGAAACTCCTAATCCGTGACAAGTGGTATCAGAGCAGATCCGATCCGTCTTTCAATGTCCCGCCAAGTGCCCACGCAGGGGCATCCACATGTGATTTTGGGTCCGCACGAGAGTGAGGTGGACGAGTAGGCAGGGGGCCCCACCTGTGACGAGAGCGTCACAGGATTAGGTGGGGGAAAATGTAACGAATCTCACATCGGCAGCGTATTGAGGAGGTCTCAAGCTTATAAATGGGTTGAGTCCCTCCACCTAATAGGTTAGTCTTTTAGGTGTGAAACTCCCAGCCTGTGACAAGTGGTATCCGAGCAGATCCGGTTCGTCTTTTGATGTCTCGCAAAGCACCCACACAGTGGCGTCCAGGTGTGATTGTGTGTCCACATGAGAATTAGTTGTACGAGTAGGCAATGGGGCCCCATCTGTGACTATGACTTCACATGATTGGGTTTAGAAAAATTTAACGAATCCCACATCGAAAGCGTATTGGGAAAGTCCTAGGCTTATAAATGGGTTGAGTCCCTCCACCTAATAAGTTAGCCTTTTGGGTGTGAAACTCCTAACCCGTGACACTTGACACATATAACCAACAAGAAAATGAGATAAAATCAACATCCCAGATAAACATGTCAAGAGGACAAAGAGAAAAACCTGTGGAAGAAATCAACAAAACCCATGGTTTTTGCGTCTATCATCAGGACAGGAAATTCAAGGATCTCAACTTTCCCCTCCAAATCAAGCACCAAGAAAAAATCTAAATCCTGAGAGCACTTGCGTTGAGAAGCAGCAGCATTTACTTGAAGTTCTCTAGAGATATCATGATTAAATTTCTCTAGGTGGGTAGTATCATCCATCTAAAATGCAAAGTAACTCCGGTTATAAACCACATTTTACAATTCAAACACCAAATAAGGGGAAAACAAAGCTGGAAAACTATTATAGAAACAATGTAGTGAAAAACAGGTGGGTGCGAGTGACTAAGGCGGGTTTCAATCATCCACTTCAATAACCCATTGTATTAGTACCTATAAGCACGTCAAGTATATAAAATGGCTAGTTTCCAAATTTACAAATTTGAGAAAAGAAAATATTTTTTTACCAAAAAAAAAAAAAAGGTATTGAAGAATGTAAATTAGAAAGAGTTATAACTAACATTACCAAAACCTCTCTCTCTCTTTCTCTCTTTTATACCCAGAAATCCCTCGTCCTTCCCTACATGTTCACTTAACTCAAAACTGGGGGCTCTTCCAGATCCAGCAACCCCCATAGCCAGAAAACTTATGGGATATATAACAAACCAAGTAGGTGGCCGGAGGGGATTTCAGCCTTGTCTAATTAATATACATTTTGTTGGAAATTCAATGTATCCAAGAGTGTGAATCCAAGTTAAAACAAAAGCAAGAACAAGGTTCCGAATTTCAATGAAACAATAGATCGAACACGTGTCATGAACAACAAAATTTCATAAAACGGTACAAAAGCAACCTCCAAACCGTCAATTTTGGCTTTTATCCTGGTTAAAAACTTAAATGGGTGAGCGTGAAAATCTTACCATGGTACATTTCCCTTGTGTGAAGTACAAACACAGAGGTCTCCATCGAGCACTTGCATTCTTCTTCTCAGTTAAAAGATGAAAAGACGATGATATTGGGACCGAACAGCACATGTATTTGGTGCAACTGGGTGTACGGACACCGGCCAGAGGGCGAGGGAGAGAACTGGTGTATCGGAGAGGAGAAAGTCCGGTGGAGAGAGGAACCTTAAGAAACGACATCGTCTTTTCCAGATTTGGAAGTAAAAGGTATAGCCGGTTCGCGTTTTTTAGGGTTTTGGATAAGCAAAAGGGTTTGGCGGGTAATTTCAATTGTATTTCTTTCTTTTTCTTTTTCTTTTTTTTTTTTTTTATTTTCTTTTAAAAAAACTATTTAAAACATTTTTTTACAAATTAAAATATAATTTTCTTTTAATTAGTTTAATAGATAAGACATTTCATCTATTTTTACTCTATTTCACCTTTTCACAACTTTAATACTTTTACTCTAATAAGTAATAACTTTTACACAAAAGTAACTCTCCCAAGTCCACGCGACTCTAGCACTACTAGACTCATTAAATTTTTTTTAATTATTCTTTAAATTAGTGTTAGAAATTAAATATCAATTTTTTTTTTTTAAACAAACAAGTAAATTGGCTAATTATCCTTTATGAACAAAATTAAGAAATAAAATATATATATATATTTTTTAAAATAGTAAATATATATAAGAGTTATTTTAATTTTTAAAAAATTAAAATTTAAAAATGGTTTTACTCATAGTACTAGAGTCAACCGGATTCGAGAGCATTAGAATGATTTTCTCTTAGCTCACTATAGGGGTGTGCAAAATTGGATATCTGATCTGGTTTTACATTTTTTTTATCCTATTCGAAAATTCGAATCAAGATAAAACTTGATTCGAATCCGATCCGGATTTCATTTGATCTGGTACTATTGATCCAATTCGAATATTCGGATCGGATAAATCGGATGTCCGGTTTTATTAGAATTTCATGGAAAATATCAATTTATCCCCTAAAATTTTGCATTATTCTTTAGTACCCCTGCCACATCATCATTTGTCATTGCATTTCAAAACAGTCCACACACTTTACCACTTTTCACCTAGGACCCCAAAATAACTTCTTAAAACTTGTAGTTATGGACAAAACCGGATCGGATCCAGATATCCGGTTTCTTTGTAGAGTTGATCCGATATCTGATCCAAAAATCTGGATCTTCCAAAAATTGATATTCGAATCCGATCCCAATTTTCTGATATCTGGTTTTTTTGATCATAACAGATTGGATACAGACCAGATATCGGATATCGGAGTTTTTTGCACACCCTTACTTAGCTGTTAGAATGAAAAGAGTAAAATAAAAAGAAATTAAATGAAAAGTTTCATCTACTGAAACAACTAAAAAGAGGTCAGATTTTAATTTGACTCTTACGAAAAGGTTTTTAAGTAATTATATTTTTCTTTTATTAAGATTTAGCTAATTTATATCCAATTTTGGTGTACTAAAAAAATAATAATGTTGTGTTTACAACTGGGTCATACAATCAAGTAAAAAACTTAGGATGGAGTAATCATTTTACATGAATTTTATAAAATTTTGGTATAGTTACATGACTCAATTTTTAGCACATCATTATTCTTAAAAAATGTGACATCACGTAATCATATAATTAATGCAACGTCAAATTATCGTGTTGGTTACTGATTAGAAGCATTTGCAATGCAAAAATTAAATAATACCAAAACATTCATATATAATAAAATATATGAATCCAAAAGAGAAACTAAAGGCTGTTTGGTAGATTATCAGATTTTGATAATATGTTTTATATAATATCTAAAAATTATATCATAGTTGGATAGAATATTTAATAGTTGTTTGGTATATTTTTTAAAAACATTTGCTAAAAATATTTAGATTATTTTTTAAACCCCTGTATTTGTTAATTTAGCTAAACACCTCTCACAATAAAACTTTAAAAATTAACAAAAACACCCCAACCACCTAATGGAATAGCCAACCACCAGCCACCACAGCCGTATAGCAACCTGCAATCGTCAAAACGATGCATAATCGACTAGATCTGACTGGTTGTGTGTCGATATGACTATTTTCGACAAAATCACTGACAACCAAATTCTAGTCATTGTCAATGGCCAGATCTGACCAAAATCAGACCGTAAATCTAGTTAGAAACAATCAAATCAACGTACGACCGACCAGATCTAACTGGTCATACGTCACTCTGATGCAGGCAATGACGATTGACCATGGTGGTTTTAGGTGGATTAATTTTCAGATTAAAATGAGTGAAAAATAATTGTTTTGAGTAATGCTACACTTACAAACAGATTCTACAAAATGACGTGACAACAAATGAATAGAATAATTAATATAATGAATTTGATTTTTTGTTTCACTCTTCCATTCATTTTTTGCCATCTCACTTTGTATGAAAATCTTTGTAAGATTTTTTTATAAATATAATATTATTAAATTGTTTTTAGTTAGATAGAATTGTAAAAATGTTTAGAATATGATAAAGAAAACAAGTCCATCATCCTATTTTCATTCTCAATAGAAAAAAATTTATTTGATTCGAATTAATTTTCAGGATAATAATCTCAATAAGTAAACAAACGCATATCTTGTTTTTTAATCCAAATAGGATAAGAGAAAAATAATTCAAAAGAGTGAAACAAAAAGGGACCAAAATTTTGTACATTATCTACTTTCATCGCTCATTCTCTTCTTCATCAAGCCCTGTGCAATCTTCGATCACATTAGGCCTTGAACTTTGTTTGTTCATTGACCGCATTTCATCGATTTCAACCCGTAACAGAGGGTCGCACACTACTTTTGCTGCCTTCAGTATCTTGGGGCAGGCTGACAGGAGAAGAAATTGTCAGAGATAGAAGCTTGACATGGGGAATTAAAAGCACAACTCAAAACAAATAATAAATATACCTGCTACCGGGCATCGACCATTTTTATTTTTGGATTTATTAATATAGGCCATGATTGCCTTCTTTTCATATATATGCTTGCAATCCACACTGCATCAGGAGAAAACACAAACATGGAAATAAGTCATGCTCTAATACAGAATGCCTTGCCAACTATGGAATATGTTAATCCAGACTAATTAACTTTTCTTTACAGCCACGGCAAAAATAATATACCGACCGTCCTTTACGTCAAGCTAGGAACACCTTCAAATGTAGGCTAGAAAGTTAGAAACAATCACCTTATATACGCACCAAAACAATCACTCACATAAGCATTAATACCAGGAACCAATAATTAGTCAGGTCTTGTTTCAGAAACATTCTTCTACTTTCTATTTGCCAAACAATTGCAGACTACTATAATCCTACGAAAAATTTGACTAATAACTAATAAACTGGAGACAATAACATAAGACAAAATTTTTATTTGACCATGAATGAGATCCTTTTTCACCAGTTTAGTTTATCCTATATTTTTAATATTTACCGAGCAGGCCCTTCCCGGACCAAATACAGGTTTGAGCCATCACCCTTCAAGAGGACACCTACCAGTAGGTCTAAAGGCCACTGCTTTCACTACTGTTATAATAGTCAAAACATCCACCTAAGTGACTTCAAGTAATCATCATGTATATTTGAAGATGTTAATAGAGAACCTCAGTGATTGGAGTTTAGAAAAGTTTGCCAGTATATAGTTTGGCCTGTTTTGTGCTTAAATAATATCTTAAAACTACCTTTCCCTTAAAAATATTCCCCCAACCAACATACATTCAGTTATCTCATTCATAAAACAGAAACAGTGAACCAAGCATACATATAACTGAACCTGACGTCAGATTAGCAATAAAAAAAAAGTACAGCCTTTAGCCAGTCCAAAGAGGCTTATACATGGTTACCTAAATCCCCAAAGTGTTATCTAGAAAACTTGGAAGGAAAAGCATGCTCCTGTCACGCAAGTATTTGCACATGCAGTTTTCCGGTTATAGTACAAAACACAAGCAAACATGTTTTTAAAAAGAGGGGAAAAAAAGAAAAAAATCTAAGTGATTAGGAAAACACAAAGATATGTTTGAAGTGAGACTACAGTACCTTCGGACTGGGTCTGCTAACTCAGTAACGGGTTTTCCACTCAAAGGACAAGTGATATTTAAAAGGTTGCACTGGGTACTGGTCATTATAATGTCCTCCTGCTCTTCACCTGGCATTGGTTCTCCTGCATGATGAACATTCTGCAGGGAAATAGTGATAACACCACTAAATAGATAATTAAAAGATAAAGTAGCCAGAAAACTAATAGAACCTTGAAACAATATATATGCAGATAAAAAAACTCGGTGTTTTGTAACTCTTCAAATATGCAGACATTTATATTGATTGCCAGCAGAATGTTAAAGTAAGTCAAGCAGAAAACAGGGTTTTAATTAGCTATGCTTTTACATTAGTTTAGAAGTATTAATCGTTGCAGTATATAAAACTCAATTTCTACCCTGGAGGTATGATATTAAGGTATTTGTTTATCAATCTATATTTAAGTATTAACCATTGCTGTATAACTACTTCAGTTTTTACCACACAAATAAAATCCATAGTATCTGTTGGTTGCTTGAGAGGTGTCTATTTTTTTTTTTTCTTCTAATTGTTCTGTCTCTCCCTCAGATACAGACACAAATACTCCATCTAAAATGCTTTTCCAGAAAATGAAAGGCATCTTTTACAATTGATTAACATTTAAGAAAAAATGTTCCAAATATCAAGAAACATACCCAGACAGCTTCTCTGAATTGACGCATCAATGATTCTTTCTGTGGAACAGATGATGAAGCAGCCTTGGCCTTCACAAACTCACCCTCAAGCAACTTCTTAAAATCTGTTAACTACAATTCAAAATTATACCAACAAAATTTTATTAAAGAAGTGTCAGTACATTTATACCAAAGCAGCCATTTAAACAAAGACAGCCGAAGCATAATAAGAAATAAACCGGTCACCTCTGTCCCAGGCTGATATGAATTTCCAATTGATTCAATGGATGATGAATAGTGTGTACAGTCTCCATAGGCTTCTGACAGCTGCATAGCAGCATCCTCTAGTTTCATCACCTGCAATTATTTACAATTACCGATTCCATTAATATAAAAGAAGAAAACCAAAGTTCCCCTTAACATCATTCTCAACTGTTGTGCCAACTGAAACAAATAACACATCCAACATATAAGACACTAGTTTACAGATTCAAATAGAAACTACATTATTGGCAACAAAATATTTAAAACAGATCCATGACCAAAAGCAAGAAAACAACCAGATGTGAAGGAATTAAAATAACACACACACACACACACACAGAACATTGTCTAAAATGGAGGTTTTGAAGGGAAAGAACCCAAACAAGCACCAAATATCCTAAAATTTTAAATCTTCTGAGGTGCATTTTTTTCCCCCATTTACAAATCTTAGAAAACCAAACAGAGCATATGGATGTGTTTTTTATCAGGCAACAACGAGCCAACTAGTGAAGTCTCTTAATAAGTTGTAAAAGGCTACTGAAATCAGATCCTGGCTTCATCTAAGTTGTCAGGATTTGATAGAAGGCATAATCCTAATTCTTAGCCCGTTACCTCCAAAAATATAGCAATAAAAAAATATTTTTACCCATTAATGCAAATGAAGAGATACTTCTTTCCGTAATTGCAAAAATACTCAAAAATCCGGAAATACAGTACTTTGTTTCTTTCAAATTTCCACATCTTCTGACAACAGAGTGCATGTGCAAGCACACACAAATAAACAAACACAACATAAGGGTTATCATTGATAATACCATTTGAGACTGATTATCTCTTTCTAAATCAACTGCAACCTCCTTCATCAAACTCGTCGCCTTTCGAACTTCCTGCAATAAACATTAAAAATAAATTATAATAACATAAGATATAAAACAACACACATATGGAGTGATCTACTTTGGCAAGCTTCTCAGAAGCAGTTTCATCTTTCCTTCTCAATCAACATCTAGTACTTATTTTTATAGAAAAGGCAACCAATTGGGCTGTTAACTTTTAAAATGAAATTAAAAATAAAAAGCACTTCCAATGGCAACTAAATATCAATATCACATTATTTTAATTACTACTGTCTTACATTACACCTTGTTTTCCAAGAATTTTCAATACACATGCCCTGCTTTAAAATTTGGAAGAATATAATTTCACTCAGGTATGATAATCGAGAGTCCTTTTTTGCAAACTGCCGGAAAAGCTCTTCCAAATAAGAGCAATCACTTCTATTATTAAATAAAAGCGCTTTAAAATTTCTGAAAAAGAAATCCTAGTAAATTCTTTTCCCAACAGTGGTTCCAAGTGAGTCAGTCCAGTAGCTTATTCACAATGCATTCTCAAATCGCTTCTGGAAAAAGTGCTACCATACAAGTTTTCCGCACAGATATCACACCTCTACTGTAAATTTGATCACTCACCAGTCACCACTCACAGCCTTAGGTTTTCAATACGAGCAATTGAGCCCCAAATTTGCATAAATTTTCTATTAAAAACACAGCACATTATTTTTTAGCTTTCTGAAACGAAAAGTAAAAACAATTTCGAATTTTCGGCAGCAACGTAATTGACTTGAAAATCGTGAGAACAGAAGACTTACACCAAGGAGAGAGTTGTTTTCATTGTAGAGCGTTATGGTGGCGTTTCGAATTCTTTCAGTCACGCCGTCGTGCCGAGAACCTGAGGTGGATGCCATGTAGTATAGAGAAGGCAAGTGGAAAACGATGCGATTTTCGTTTTGGAGGTCCAATTGGCGAGCCTCGGCTTTTTTGGAGGGAGAGTAGAAAGCTGGGTGTGGTAAAGAGGGAAATGTTTGGTTAAACGCCCCCGTTTTTGGAGTTCATGAAACGAGTCGTTTTGATAAACGTGTTATAAAAGAGTTTTATGTAAATGTTTGGCACCAGACTACTAGTTAATTTATAAAATTAATTGAGAAATTGATTATTTCAATTTTTAATTTTGCAAAAATTATAATAACGAATTAAAGAACCCATTTATCGAGTCCATAGTTTAATCTAATATTAAAATTTTAAAATCCAATATAATTTGAAACATTGATCAATAGTCGTTGATAAATCATAATTTAAGAGTTTAAAAAAAGGATGTGTGACTTTATATGCACTCAACTCCTCCATTATGAAACAATAAATGAGATCTTTGAAATTTGAAGAAAACATGAAGGAAATTTTAAAAGCTCATAACATCTAACACTTCAAGAGCCCAATTCAAATCAAAGTAATTTATCTCAAATAAAAACACAGCAACACGAGAAAACATAAAGAAGTTCGAACGAGTCACGTTCTTTAAAAATGAAACGACGATTGCTCCTAAGATAAACTTTAAGCTAGTTATGATCATTTCACTTGGTCAGAAAGTGATTATATATATTTTATGTTCTAGGATTTTAGATACTCCAAATGATCTCATCCTTTCACTAAAAAAGGTTCGATAGATTCTCACCTTGTAGAAATACATGCATATCCATCCTTTACATTTGAAATTTCTTATATAACTCTTAAGGCCATTGGCGATGAACAATGGAGAGACATAATGATTCAAGTAAAAGACACCAGAGAAAAATGTCTTGTGTCACGACCCGACTATTTCCCTTGGACATGCGGCCTTAGGTGCCAATCTCCTACGACTGGCCTAAGTCAACTTGCTCACTCACGCTTCTAGCCTTGCAAATAAGAGAACACTCAACAAACTCACTCACAAGAGATGCTAGAAGAGAACTATTTACTAATGAAGAAAGTTTTACAATTCTTGGATGGTTTGACCAAATGAAGGCTCCCCCTTTTATAGTAGATGGAGCTTAAATGGCGGTTAGATCTTCACAATCAACGATGGAGATTAACTAACTTCAACCACCACCTACCAACTACTATCTACCAACTACCGTATTAATTAAAGATTCTAAAATACAAGAGTATCTAGAAGGTCTAGAGTATCGGGGTGACGCACACCAAGTGTTTGATGAAATCTTGAGAGAGTAAATGTTTTGCTAGAGAGATCTACGACACTTTATGAGCGCCAACAACTTAGTTGGCAAATATTGATGTAACCCAATTCTCATACAATTTGCAGAGGAGTGAAGCCACCAACAAGAACCCATTTGAGATGTGATGGGTCAACGACCACTCAGCCGCACACCTTGGGTAAAGTTATAAAGGAGCACTCTCCGGCATTCAAAGTTGCTAAGTCATGATATGAGCAAACCGACATCACACAGGCTATCTTGACAAAGCAACCAAAAAGATGAAGAGTGGGCGGAGAGAAGACGAGCATGTGGAGTATAAAGTGGAGATCTATACTTGTCAAAATCTCCCATCACAACACAAGTCCACCCGGCACTACACAAGCCCTTGTCAAGATATGAGATTTCTCATAATCAGAGGGTCATAATGTATCCACAAGCTTGAATTGCCCTCTTGGTTGAGACTCCATCCGGTCTTCCATGTGAGTATTTTGAAGCGTACCATGAAGATACGGAAGATCGGGAAGAAGAGAATCAAAACAAGCACCATTTGAACAACAAGTTCCATGACAAAGAGGTGAAGTGTGTGTTAGTCGATCGTGTCATTTGACGAAAGGGCTATCCTCAAGTCGGGAATATTTTGTCAAATGAAAGGAGCTACCGAAGAGTGAGCTAGTTGGGAACCGAAGATGCATTGTAGCAATTCAAAGACAAGGTCCAAAATTCCATGAAAGTGACGAGGACGTCTTGGATTAGGTGGGGGAGAATGTGAGCTCTCAAGTATTTCATCAAACACTTGGTGTGCGTCACCCCAACTCTTCTAGAATACTCTTTATTTGCTAGAATCTTGTAATTAATACGTAGTTGGTAGATATAGTTGGTAGGTGATAGTTTGGAGTTAGCTAATCTCCACTGTTGATGTGGAAGATCGGACCGTCCATTGTAAGCTCCATCTACTATAAAAGGGGAACCTTCATTTGGCAAACCATCCAAGAATGTAAAGCTTTCTCTCATTAGTAAAGAGTTCTCTTCTAGCATCTCTGAGTGAGTTTGTGGTGAGTGTTCTTTTATTTACAAGGTAAAGTGTGAGCGAGCAAGGCTGACTTAGGCAATCGTCGGGAGATTGGCCCTAAGGCACACGAGCTGAGGGAAATAGTCAGGTCGTGACAGTTGGTATCAGAGCAGACCCAGTTCGTCTTTGATGTCTCGCCAAGCACCCACGCAGAGGCGTTCACGTGTAATTGTGGGTCCACATGAGAATGAGATGGAAGGGTACGAAGGGGGCCATCTGTGACGAGGCGTCACAGGATTGGATGGAGAGAATGTAACGAATCCACATCAAAACGTATGGAGAAGTCCTGGGCTTAAATGGGTTGAGTCCCTCCACCAAATAGGTTAGCCTTTTGGGTGTGAAACTCCTAATCCGTGACAAGTGGTATCAGAAGATCCGATCCGTCTTTCAATGTCCCGCAAGCGCCATGCAAGGGCATCACATGTGATTGTGGGTTCCCACGAGAGTGAGGTGGACGTAGGCAGGGGGCCCACACTGTGACGAGAGCGTCACAAGATTAGTGGGGGGAGAATGTAACGAATCTCACATCGGCAGCGTATTGGGAGGTCTCAGCTTAAATGGGTTGAGTCCCTCCACCTAATAGGTTAGTCTTTTAGGTGTGAAACTCCCAGCCGTGACAAGTGGTATCGAGCAGATCCGGTTCGTCTTTTGATGTCTCGCCAAGCACCCACAGAGGCGTCCAGGTGTGATTGTGGTCCACATGAGAATGAGGTGACGAGTAGGCAAGGGGGCCCCATCTGTGACAGACTCACAGATTGGGTGAAGAAAAATAACGAATCCCACATCGAAAACGTATTGGAAAGTCCTAGGCTTATAAATGGGTTGAGTCCCTCCACCTAATAGTTAGCCTTTTGGGTGTGAAACTCCTAACTGACACTTGACACAATAACCAACAAGAAAATAGATAAAATCAACATCCCAGATAAACATGTCAGAGGACAAAGAGAAAACCGTGGAGAAAATCAACAAAACCCATGGTTTTTGCGTCTATCATCAGGACAGGAAATTCAAGATCTCAACTTTCCCTCCAAATCAAGCACCAAGAAAAATCTAAATCCTGAAGCACTTGCGTTGGAAGCAGCAGCTTTACTTGAAGTTCTCTAGAGATATCATGATTAAATTTCTCTAGGTGGGTAGTATCATCCATCTAAAATGCAAAGTAACTCGGTATAAACCACATTTTACAATTCAAACACCAAATAAGGGGAAAACAAAGCTGGAAAACTATTATAGAAACAATGTAGTGAAAAACAGGTGGGTGCGAGTGACTAAGGGGGTTTCAATCATCCACTTCAATAACCCATTGTATTAGTACCTATAAGCACGTCAGTATATAAAATGGCTAGTTTCCAAATTTACAAATTTGAGAAAGAAAATATTTTTTTACAAAAAAAAAAAAGGTATTGAAGAATGTAATTAGAAAGAGTTATAACTAACATTACCAAAACCTCTCTCTCTCTTCTCTCTTTTATAACCAGAAATCCCTCGTCCTTCCCTACATGTTCACTTAACTCAAAACTGGGGGCTCTTCCAGATCCAGCAACCCCCATAGCAGAAAACTTATGGGATATATAACAAACCAAGTAGGTGGCGGAGGGGATTCAGCCTTGTCTAATAATATACATTTTGTTGGAAATTCAATGTATCCAAGAGTGTGAATCCAAGTTAAAACAAACAAAGAACAAGGTTCCGAATTTCAATGAAACATAGATCGAACGTGTCATGAACAACAAAATTTCATAAAACGGTACAAAAGCAACCTCCAAACCGTCATTTTGGCTTTTATCCTGGTTAAAAACTTAAAGGGTGAGGTGAAAATCTTACCATGGTACATTTCCCTTGGTGAAGTACAAACACAGAGGTCTCCATCGAGCACTTGCATTCTTCTTCTCAGTAAAAGATGAAAAGACGCTGATGTTGGGACCGAACAGCAATGATTTGGTGCAACTGGTGTACGGACACGCCAGAGGGCGAGGGAGAGAACTGTGTATCGGAGAGGAGAAAGTCCGGTGAGAGAGGAACCTTAAGAAACGACATCGTCGTTTCCAGATTTGGAAGTAAAAGGTTAGCCGGTTCGTTTTTTAGGGTTTTGGATAGCAAAAGGGTTTGGGGTAATTTCAATTGTATTCTTTTTTTTCTTTTTCTTTCTTTTTTTTTTTTTATTTTCTTTTAAAAACTATTTAAAACATTTTTTTATTTGACAAATAAATATAATTTTCTTTTAATTAGTTTAATAAGAAAACATTTCATCTATTTTTACTCTATTTCACCTTTTCAAACTTTAATACTTTACTAATAAGTAATAACTTTTACACAAAAGTAATCTCCCAAGTCCCTTTTTTTATTTTTTCTTTTAAAAAAACTATTAAAACATTTTTACTTTGACAAATAAAATATATTCTTTAATTGTTTAATAGATAAGACTTTCATCTATTTTACTATTTCACCTTTCACAACTTTAAACTTTACTCTAATAAGTATAACTTTTACACAAAGTAACTCTCCCAAGTCCAAATTTTTTTTAATTATTCTTTAAATTGTGTTAGAAATTAAATATCAATTTATTTTTTTTAAACAAACAAGTAAATGGCTAATTATCCTTTATGAACAAAATTAAGAAATAAAATATATATATTTTAAATAGTAAAAAATATATAAGAGTTATTTAATTTTGAAAATTAAATTTAAAATTTAAAATGGTTTTACTCATAGTGCTA